AAATGCTTTGGCTTTGAAATAGTTCGTGTATATGAGATTTTTTAGGACTGCGAAGTGTCCCCTCAAACTCCAAAGAATCTGTCCGTTTTCTTAGCGCTCCTTATGAAGTATGAACGCAGTACATCTCCATGCCGAAATTCTTTGAGCTCTATATGTTCCACCGATCGCATCTTCGTCTTCTGAACTGCTACCTTGAGTTTGTCATTTCGCTTCTATCATTTATATGGTATCTTTTCAATGCCGCACAAGAATTTATAATTCTGCTTGCACGGAAAATGTACAGCGTATAGTTTGGGAAACTTAAGATGGTTGGGTTCAAAATTATTCGGTAATTGAAAAAGTGCCTGCAGCCATGGCCGCGTTTCAAACACATGCTAGGTCCGTGGGCTTCACACTGCACATAGCTCACATGCTACCACCGGTGACGGTCGTACTTGCGATTGCTACTGGACCTCAAAAAGCGTCGCCACCTCTAAGTGATACCCCATTCTACGTCTTCAAGACTTTGACAGCATCCCATTCGGTAGATCTATATTCTGCAAAGTCGATTTCGTAGGGGTTTTCAGTCAAAGCTCCATCGCTCAGGGGGATGTTTTGCAGATGATCGTCGTCACCCAGTTTGGTCTCTTTGGGTTACTGTGCATGCTAATTGGACTCCGCAACGCCATCCAAACCTTCCAAAGCTCCATAGTTAGGACGCTCCATTGCTTAGCCTTTGTATACGTCTATACTTCGAATTTCTGGGGGGACGACATTATCGCTGAAGAACATGTTGGGTATCTTGCAAGGGTTTTTGACGATCGTTAACATTTTGACGTTATCTGCAACCAATCCAAACGCATATTTAGTGTTTTCTTCTCTCATTTCGGAGACCTGGTCGACTTTATCGGTATACATTCCTGTCCTGCATAGGTCTTGACCATCCGTAAGTTCTCGCCCTCCACATCCAAACGTCACCTACAGAGGTTTTAGGATATGGTGAACTTTTAATATCGGTTCCTCACGGACTGTCCTGACAACATTCTGCCACCTATGCAATTAATCTCTGGTCTCAATGGTTCGTTTGGGTTTTCCGCAAGCCTCCTCTTCGATTGTGGCCAAGCGAAGGCTGCCGTGACCAACCCCACTGCCCTGGCCTGCCCTGCTCCTGATGCATCTATCTCCATCCCGATCGACGTCTCCAACGTCACAGTCTGTGCAGTCCTTCATCGTCATATTACAAATCAAATTCAACCCCTGGCCTTCCTTTCCAAAAACGATTACCTGCCGATTTCCTTTAAAGGACATTTAAATCGGAGTTACGGACTATCTGCTCAGCCGTGAAGCACTCCCAGAATTTCCATGAGGGCGGGAACTTCACAGTCTTTACAACCCAAAAGTCCCCTTCCTTTGATCTTCAACATCACTTTGGTAAGCTCAAGCCCAGAAGGTTCGCCAGCTTGACTATATTTTGCAGTTCACCTCTGATATCTGCCGTGTTGACGGATCAACAAAAAAGCTGGTTGATGCACCCCCAGGTCCTCAGTCAGACATCCTCAGCTCTCTTCGGGAACTGACCTTACCTTTGTGGCTGCTGAATAACGACGTTTCGGTTAAACTGGTGATGGAGCAGTTAGTAATCTCCAACTTGGAGACTTTTCCCTGACTACTGGTGTCTAAATGATCCTTTGTGGCACCTCCGTTCCTCATTGCCCCTTCCTCCTCTCTCTGAGGCGTCGGACTGTGTTCCAATCTCTTTTTGGACTCTGGCACCCCCTGATCCCAACAACAGAAGATTCTCGCCGAAAGGTTTGTCGGCCTAGAGCGAACAAGGGGGTCAGAGCTTGAGAACGACCGTGTCTACGCACCACTGAGGATCTGGAAAACTGAGCCAAACACCTTTCATCGTTCCTGTTTGGAAGCCGACTAACCTGCAAGTCGGCACTTGCCTTCTGCGCCGCTAAAGTGGTCTTCGGAGTCACATCCCGACTCTGTGATGAGATGTTTTCCCAGACTCTTGCGGCGTCAACGAGGGCCCACCCAACTTCGTGCACCGCCCTCAACAGGTCATGCACAGGCTGTCATCGGTCCCACCGCGAACTCTATCGACCGAGGCTTGTGTGGAAAAACTTTTGTTCGACTGCATTCACGTCTCCACTAGGTGTGGCCGTATGTGCAAGCCACTGTAACTGCTGTGCAAAGGACTGTTCCGAATGGTGATCACCAGCCCTATGCCGTGCCGACTCCTCTAACCGCTGTCCCCCGTGTTCACTGCCTCCCCCCTCCACACCCCCATCCTCCACCGCAAATTCTCCCACAGCAGCACGCAGGCAACCCCCCCCCTTCCCCTCATTCAAATCCCACGCCATGGACGCCATGTTTACTTTCCCGACCGCAGAATTACTCCGTCTTTAGACATCAGCAACTCCTTCGGTGTCACTTCACGCCCACTTCGGTCTCAGCGCGAGTACTGTGGCGGTCCGCTCCTGTGGTCGCCAGTCCGGCCGCCTACCTGTGTCGCCTTTAGTCCACCCAGCATCTGCCCGTCAAGTGAATGCCCTGCACCTTGCGTGACTCAGCCCAGCCTGGCGGCAACTTGAAGCTAATCAACTTTATGCCCTTCGCCTGTTGGTCGAGGACAGACATGACGCAGGCAAGACAAGCACCTAGCGTCGCAGCTAACACAAACAACGACGGCTGGCACGTGGCATAGTAGGAGAGTTTTGCTGTCGTTGGACTCTGAACCGCTTGGTTACTCCTGACAAAGTAAAGATTGTCCTACTAACCCCGTCTGTCTGACTTCTGATTTCGTCGTCGAATATTGCACTTCAGCAATACAGACGGTGCCTGCATTATGAACAGTCGGCGATTCAGCCCAGTCGCAAGAGTCGTCGGCACGTAGACGTCACCGGGCTTGGCAATCTAGGCCAAGCCAGACCAGCTTGATCAACCATCAGGCCTATTTACTGAGGCGCAGCTGAATGAGGCAAGACTGAAAAGCCTCGGATTGGTCTTAAATGATGATTCTTTCCTCCATCTAGGCCACTTCTTTGTGTCATTTCCTAAAATGAAACACCGCATGTTTCTCGGACGCCGACTGCAATGTTATCAAGACTGATAATGAAAAAAAATTCGAACAAACGGCATTCAGAAGTTCGGCGGCCCCCGAGGGCGCCACAGGATAAACATGATATGAGTCCCCCTGTGTTTGGCGGTTTCGGCTGTGATTCTCAAACAGACATTACGAGAGTTCCTATTTTTTAAATTTTCCTTTAGGTCCTTCAGTGGGAACCGTCCAACGAGCAAGACTAACATGCATCCTTCTCCCTCAATGTCCTCGTAAATCTCCTTACTTGAGTCCGCATGGACATGCGTACTTGAACTACGAGGACACCGAAAACGGACTGCACTAAAACGTGAGACTGGCCACTGGTGTATGATTGCAAATGGAAGAGGGAGTTAGGCTGTCCCTGCATCTAGCATCTCCTCCTCTGGGGCGCTTACCGTAATGGAGCCTTCTTAATGCGTCCGTTGTGGCAATACTTAGCTATGTACGTTACGACCTAACAGAGTGTGATTCAAATGGATTGAAGAAACAACCCCTGTGTGGCAAGTATAGATGGAAGCAAAGGCCTTCTTAGCCATAGTACACGCACACAGTTCCAGCCAACTCGATATTTTCATGCCGGTGAAACAAAAAGGCGATGTGAAAAAGGAAGTTTGAGGAGGTTGATTTAACGAAAACTTACCTCGTCATAATCGGACTCACGCGCACGTTTCTGCTGTCCCCTTGCCCAGTGGTGTTCTTCGTTGCTCGAAAATGAACCGCTATTCGGTACACCGAAAAAGTCCCGTTTACAGGACTCGTCGCTTTCAATTTTTCTAGCAGCCTCTTATTATCTCTCAGCTTCCATCACGCCCTGCTACCGTCTTCGCTGCTATTAACCAGCTTTCTTTCATGTGATGCGCGTTCACCTCAGTGTCACGTGAAACGACTTCTCAGCCACTGAAATCTGTGACCCATGAATGCGAAAGTGGTCACTAGCCTCTGCTTTACATGGCCAAAGTGCACATTAATACTCATCTGGACCGACTTGAATTTCAGAGATGCGAATTCTATTTGTGCAACCTGCTGCGTTGCATGTCAGAGGACAGAATGTGCAATCGGCAGACCTCATACCCATTCTGGCCCTGCTTTCTAACCCAACGCTTCCCACAACTCACTGCAAGTGTCGCCACCACGAAGACGAACTCTTCGAGGATTTTTAGACGCCATCTCTGATAGACTGGCCAGAGTAGGAAATATACACTCAAGCAGATACCCCCAGCGACTAACGTACGAAAGTTGATTTCCGGCAACCCGGTTCTACTCCCTCAGAGCATAAGCAGGTTACCACCGCAGGCCACGCTAGTGGGTACTGATTTCTTCAGTTTCTCCCGTGAAATAGTCTATTTATTATAAGGCGTAAGTGCTCTTCCAAGAGGATACGAAAGCCTATTCCTGTAAGGACTTGGAAACGCGAAGCAAGAACAAGAAACAGTAGCATTCTCGGGCATCTGGTATGCACCAACCATTGGTTGCACGTCAAGCGAGCCACCACAGGAGGGACCGCTTGCGCAAACGAGGGCTACGACAATCAAGCTGATCCCCTGTACATGTAAAAACTTCATACAGACCCTGCGGCTGTTAGTGATCAGAGTCAGTTGACGGGGAGCCTAGATACGAAAGCGTAATCGCATACTGGCCCTATCATTCGCACACGGTAGACGCAGTTTGCCTGAATCCTGTGAGTCAAACATTCATTTGCGTTTTTAACATTACTGTCCCCCCTAGGCCCACTCCCTTATCGCAATCTCTTCTCCCTTGTCTATCACCCATTTGTCTTCTACTTGAACTCACGTAAGGAATACTGGAGACATCGAATTAATGCAAGTCTTTATTACTATATTAACATAGAAAACAAAAACGAAATATCTCAACAAACAATTCCGTGATTAATAAACTATGAAATCTTACAATATTAGCCAACAGATTCAATATATTGTAGGAATCGCTTCAGCTCTGGGTGATGGGGTGCAAATTCGCGCAGTACCTCCACAAGCGTGACGTCGGTCGCGTTGGGATGTCTCGCACAGTACTCCTGATAAAGAGCATTTTCGGTCCGCAGGGCTCTTAGATGCTCTGGGCTTTCGTCGTGGATGAAGTCGCATCGACGGCCGTAGCGGCAGTAACCGCTGAGACAGAATGCGCGGCAGACCTCTGTCTTGTAGCGTGGATGGCGCGCTGTGAGATGCAGCTCCCGCAGGCCATGCGCAAATCTACAACGTAGGCCGTATTCACACATCTGATTCTTGCTGAGAAGGTAACGTTTGCAGAGTTCTGTCTTGTAGAGGCCCTTTCTGACGGGAGTCAGGTTGAGCCCCCAGACCAGCGGCTGCACTGGTGGACTGAATGTGCCTGAGCTGCTTGGCGTTTTAGGTAGACTTGATGTGAAGGACCACTGAGAAATGGAGTCTCGTGCTTCCAGATTTTGGGTCTGGCTGTCGTTGTAGGTGCGCTCTGGCTGTTGCTGTTGTTCTCGATGAAGTTTACTCAACTCTGCAGAAAGCTGGAGCTCCAGAACTGCCCTGACGAGTTCGCCGACAATTTTATCACCTGCTGGCTGCCGTTGTTTGGGAGTTGAGTGGGCGATTTTTGCAAGTACCTGGGTCACTGGTGATCTTATTGAAGTGACTGCATCTGAGGCATTTGATTCAGGCGATCGTGGACTGCAGGGTGGTGAATTTATGCGCTCATTTGCCTCAGGACGCAGTGGCCAACTGAGCGGCATCAGAAGGTCTTGATGTTGGCGGTTCCTGACATGCATTGTGACTTGACCGCCACTCACAGCGACCTTGCTGCTCCGTCCAACTCACAGGTAAACTGAGCTCTGCTCACGCAAAGATATTAACAATCACATATCACGTTTGGTAAGCTATCAGGGCTGCACTCTTAGGCTTCCCCCTCCCATATTCTGCATTCCCAGTGGTCCGAGGGCACAACAAGACCATGGGCAGTCGATATCGATTTTCTGATTGGCCCCATCGTGGGAATGCGAGGCGTGGGCCCTGTGTGCGCTTAAGCCACCCAGGTCGAAGTCTTGCACGTGCTGTTTATTGATTTCCAGCCCATAATTAATACGGCATGCGCGATCACACCGGCTAAGCCCTTTTGAATCGATAAAGGAACCCCTAAACCGCCGAACTCGCGACGTCGTTGAGCTCTACAGAAGCTTCTCTCAAATATAGGCAGAATGGTATTACCGACAAAGCCGTCGGTAATATCATTCTGCCTATATATCATGCGCCGCTGCGCAGCTGCTGGTTGGGCTCGAGAGAGAGCTCTTAAGGCACAACGGAACGAGTGAGTTCCGTATGAACGATCGGTGAGCGCCCCCTAACATTGCTTCTCTCAAACTCAGACCCTTCTGTCTCGGTACCCGCATGTTTATAGCTCAGATGCACAC